AAACGTCGATGGTATGAACCGGAGATGTCATGCAGATCATTTGTGAATGGCAGTCAGCTCTTAGAAGAAGGGGAGATGTGTAGTGTATCAGCTGGTGTTATCTTCACATGTTTTAAGATTAATTAATTGTCTATATGTTTACACTAATATTGACAAGGAAAGTTGTGGAAGGGCTTCCTAACTCGCCAGTTTTATCCTGGAGTTACTTAGGCTGGTCGTTGCATGGAAAATGTCCAGAATACAGTGGAGGACGTATTGATGACAACTTTGCTCTGACATGTTTTAAATATGATAAATTGTACAAAACAGCAAAGGAATCATTTGAGATTGAAAACAGCACATTTAGACAGGGATCCAATAAAAGAAAAAGCGTTAGAGAAGGAATGCCAAACCCTGGAGGCTAAGAATATGATTCAAGACTCTGAGAAACATTCTGACATTCTCACCAGTGTCCAGACAGTCCGAGTGGTTGGAGAGAAAACGGAAGAGCCTGATAAAGAAAATGAGATAGGTCTAGTTGACGATGAGCCGATAGAAAATTCCAAAATAGGTACTCGAAGTCTTGAAGGAAGCCATGCTGGAATCTAGTGTCAAAATCAAGAACAAGATCTTTGCGATAACTGACAAAAGAAAGAAAGTGAAAACAAAAAAAAAACAAATTAAAGCCAACCCTCAATGGAATGTGAAGAAAACGGAGAACGACTCAGAGTTGATAATTTGTAACGGATGTGACATACAGTTTGACAATACCCCACTCTACAGACACAAGAAGAAATGTGTGTACTGGAAAGAGCACAAGAATAACAATGACAAGCAAACAAACAAGTGTGCTCAGTGTGGCTGTGTGTTCCCATGCCTGATGGCCTTCTTTAAACACAACTGTAGTTGCTTAGAGGAACCTGCAATGCCACAATTGTGTCTTGAGAAGCCGGTGGCGGAGCCGCTAGGAGACAGCATAAAGGACATACCCAACTTTTCACCTGTGGAAATCTCCATAGACGAGACTGTGAGGAGAATTAACGATGGCAAGCAAACAAATAAGTGTGCTCAGTGTGTTTGCGTGTTCCCATGCCTGATGGCTTTGTTTAAACACAACTGTAGTCGCTCAGAGGAACCTACGATGCCACTATGGTGTCTTGAAGAGCCGATGGCGGAGGTGCTAGGAGACAGCGTGGAGGACATGCCCATCTTGTCACCTGTGGAAATCTCCAGAGACGACACTGTGAGGAGAATGTCACTAGTGGGATTCAATTGACCTGGTCAGTGACGAGAGCTTTGACATCTCACAGTACCACAACAAGTCCAACAGTGATAACCAGAGGAATAAGAAGTACTAGATAACACGTTGCTCTATATATTAACACGCAAGCAGTTTTCTTTTCACGGTCATAAAAAAGTTCGAGGTGTCAAATTAAAGGTATTCCCACGTAGATGCGCAAATACGTCTCAGAATATTTAGAAAGGGCACCACTTAAGTACACTTAAGGGCTAAAGTTTGGAAGGTGGCGCTATCTGTTGACATTTGATCAAACTCATTTCCCTTTGTTTACAAATAACATATGGACGTAGTTTGAAATAGTTTTTAAGGTTAACCACAGACTGCAGGACTTAAAACTTTCAGAGCAAAGCTGGAATTTATATTTTGTTTCAATCTCTTAACTAAGTCTGGTTCATAATGAAGAGTTTAAGAATAAATATTCAATTCTTTTTGTCTATGGTTAAACTGATTTACCTTACATCGTATTTTACTGATTTTCATGTAGGTAGTTACAGTTCGACGTTATGATTGAATGTTTAAATTCCAATTCCTTTATATTGTTTTCTGTTGTTTGGTTAACTTCATTATTTCATTTCAATTTAAAATCAAATGCCGCCAGTACGGCGAAGAACTGTGAGTGGCTGGAGGGAACGCGAAAATGACCGCTAGCATCAACCTCTCAATTGAACATTTGATGGGTACATAGTGGTAGTACCACCGTTGTGATAGTCCAATCTCGGACAAATGAACGTTAAATGTTTACATTGTAGTGGCTTACATATTTGTAAGCAAGAAAAGACTGGCCGAGACAGTTAAGTTGCCATAAAGACTCTTTGTTGCCATAAATGAAAGGTTGTTTACCTCATTTATGCAATTCACCATACCTCCAGGTTCTTATTGGAAACTCCCAATCTGAAAATATGACTGTGAGACTTATATCCAGAAATTATTTGGATAAAGTTTGTCAATTCAATTCTGCCTTTACCATGGTCAGCTCTATGGAGCCAACGACGTTCAACAATAGAAATCAGCTGTGCGCTTGAATTTTATTGTTATGTTTTGAAGAATTTTCCTAACCTAGCTTTTGTTTGTAAATGAACGTTACTGTTACAAGATGAGTGAAATGGATAATGAAAAATATTGTTCGTAACCTCCTGTATATTGTCGGGTCAGGTAAAATCTTGTACGTTACACGTTACGCAAGAGCGTGTTTACATCACTTCGGTAAATTATGCAACTCGCTTCCGCTCGTTGCACAACATTCACCTGCGTGGTGTAAAAACGCTCTTACTACACTTGTGAGGTAAATAGCTATTATACTTTTCAATGAAATGGTGACCATACAAAGTAGGTATTTTAATCCAAGGATGAATGGAGATGAGTGTAGGATGAGTGGCGCAATCTTGTAGTGTCTCGTTAGTGACTTAGGCCGACATAGATATTACGACTACGATCAGCTGGTGCAGCGTTTCCCATTTCGTTCAACGTTTGGATTTGACCTTGTTATGTATCAAGAAATAAGTCCATATGTTTTATTTATAACATCTGTCAGATGACTGTTTACATTATTATGTTTTGTTTACTTTTTAGTTTAGTCTGATTTGTGAGTTCAATAAATTCAGTTGTGTTAATTATGTTTTAATTTACTAAACTGGCGACGAGGATAATTGGATAATGGATCTCAATAAGCCTGATCGTTTTGACCCCCATACAAATCCTGCAAGTGTCGCACAGCGTTGGGGTACATGGATTAAGCAATTTGAGAGGTATGCTTTAGCTGCAGACATTACCAGTGATGTAAGGAAAACTGCACTAGTACTTAATCTAGCTGGTGAGGAAGTGGCTTACATTTTTGACAGTTTACCACAACCTAATGAAATAACGTACAAAAATGTTATAAAACTATTAACTGACTATTTCGCTCCTACCAAAAATGTCCTTTTTGAAATATTTAATTTTAGGAAGTGTCATCAAGCAGAATCAGAGTCGTTTAACTCTTTCTATTCTCGACTAAGAACATTAGCTGTGAACTGTGAATTCAAAGACTTGGATAGGGAATTAATTATGCAAATTTTGATTGGATCTAGAAGTGATGAGTTAAGGAATAAAATTTTGAAAGAACCTACTATTAAACTTCAGGATGTTGTTATTGCAGCTAAGTCAAATGAATTATTTCAAACTCAAAGTAAGGAACTTTCTTTCAGTAGCTCAAGTTTTGCTAATGCACATAAAATTGACCATTCAAACAGGAAATTTGTTGCATTTAACAACAATCCAGCTCACTCTGTTACACCTAATGTTTGTCTTGGTTGTGGACTAAGACATTTTAGAAGGGATTGTCCCCATCTTCAGACTACTTGTAATATTTGCAAGAAAATTGGGCATCTAGCACGAGTTTGTAAAGGAGGGAAACCACTCCCCAAAGAATATTTTAGCCAAAAACACGGATCAAAGGGACAGCGGGCTCATGAAGTTTTGTCAGAGGAAACCAATTATGAACAAGAAGAAACGTTTCCACCTCAATCAAATAACGAAACAACTCAATACGTCCAGGAAGTTAACTGCACTAAAGTACCGGAACTGTATACCACTGTCAACATAAATAATCACAAAGTTCTAATGGAAGTTGATACTGGTGCAGGTGTTTCTATCATAGGAGGAGAACTATGGAATACAATTTCTCATAAAAACTGTAAACTACAACCTTCTCCTTGGAAACTCAAGGATTACAGTGGTAAACCTGTAAGTGTTTTAGGTCAGACTAATGTTTATGTGAAATACGGTAAGTTCAATGGTTTCCTTCCGTTAGTCATAACTGAAGGTAATAGAAATAGTTTATTGGGGCGTAATTGGCTAAAAAGTCTTAACATTGAAGTAAACGGAGTACTTTCAATCAACTGTCATGAATCTGAAGTTCTTAATAAAGCTCAGCTGGATGTTCAACATCTGAAAAGTGAATTTTCCGATGTATTTTCAAATTTTTTAGGGTGCTATAAAGGACCTCCGATCGAACTGAAAATTGACCAGAATTATAACCCAATTCACTTAAGAGCGCGCCCTTTACCTTATGCATTGCAGGCCCCAGTAGAAGAAGAGCTGAATAAGTTAGTTAATCAGGGAGTGTTAGAACCTGTTCAGGTATCGGATTGGGCCACACCAATTGTTGTTTCCGTAAAAAGCAATGGTAAAATACGAATTTGCGGTGATTATAAGGCAACGTTAAACAAAGCTATCCAAGATCATCTGTACCCTATTCCACCAATCTCACAGCTCTTAGCAAACTTAAACCAAGGGAAATATTTTGCTAAGTTAGATTTAGCCCAAGCTTATCAACAACTGGTTGTTGACGAGAAGTCGGCACTAGCTCAGACACTAATTACACACAAGGGTGCTTTTAAACCAAAAAGACTACAATTCGGTATTAGCTCAGCTCCATCTATATTTCAACATTTTATTGAGGGTTTGCTTTCGGGCTTGGACAATGTAATCCCTTACTTTGATGATATTTTGGTTAAAGCAGGAACAATACACGAATTGATTACCACATTAAGACAAGTATTCACTCGTTTTAGAGATGCAGGGATTACACTCCAAAGCGAAAAGTGTTCTTTGTTATCTACATCAGTTGACTTCTTGGGATTTGTTGTGAGCTCTGACGGAATTCGTCCTAACCCGGACAAAGTCAAATCCATTCAAGATGCTCCTGAGCCGACTAACAAGGAACAACTGCAGGCATTTTTAGGTTTACTTAATTTCTATCACTGTTTTTTACCCAACAAAGCCAATGTTGCAGAACCTTTACATCGCTTATTGGACAAAAATGTTAAATGGCGGTGGGAGGAAAAACATAAACTTGCTTTCAATGCTTCAAAGAAGCTCCTTTCTTCCGATAGTATACTGGCTCATTACAATCCCTCCAGCCATCTTATACTAACTTGTGATGCATCTCCTTATGGTATTGGTTGTGTGCTTAGTCAGGTTCGAGGGGAAAAGGAAGTTCCAATTGCGTTTTATTCCAGGACAATGAGTCAGTCAGAACGAAGATATGCTCAAGTAGATAGGGAAGCACTTTCCATCATTGGAGGGGTTAAAAAATTCCACAATTACTTATATGGGAGGCATTTTGAAATTAGAACAGATCATAAGCCACTTCTGGGTCTTTTCACTGTGGATAAACAAACACCAAACACACTGTCACCTCGAATGATTCGCTGGAGTATCCTTTTAAATGGATATGACTTTGATCTTGTATACAAACCGGGGATTTCTATTCCGAATGCTGATGGTTTGAGTCGTCTTCCATGTTCCTCCAATGTTGTTGATCAAGAGATAAATGAAGTCTTGAATGACGTGCTATACATTGAATCCGATGAGGTTAAACCAATCACCGCTAATATAATAGCAAAAGAAACAGAAAAGGATCCACTTCTATCTAAAGTACTATTATGGACTCAACGTGGTTGGCCAACTCATAACTCAGATATCAACCTTACGCCTTTCATTTCTCGTCAAAATTCAATTTCTCAATACAAACAATGTTTACTTTGGGGAACTAGGGTGATCATTCCATCCACTCTCAGGCAACAAGCTCTGAAGCTTCTACACATGGGACATGAGGGCATTGTTCGAACAAAGGCGTTGGCTCAAAGCTATTTCTGGTGGCCAAAACTTGATCAAGACATAGAAAACATAGTGAATTCTTGTCAAGCATGTCAACAAAGTCGTCACAACCCTCCAAGAGCAACAGTTCTTCCCTGGGAGAAAACGAAACAACCCTGGTCTCGTCTCCACATAGATTTTGCTGGGCCCTTCCAAAACAAGTTGTTTTTGATTGTTGTCGATTCTTTCAGCAAATGGTTAGAAGTAGTTTTGGTGCCTTCTACAGATTCAAGATCAACTATAAAGGTCCTCAGAAGCCTTTTCGCAACACATGGTGTTCCAGACACAATAGTATCTGATAACGGGTCAGCTTTCACTTCACAAGAATTTCGATCGTTTAATGAAAGCAATGGCATCCGCCACGTCGTGGTTGCACCATACCATCCGTCATCGAATGGTCAGGCAGAAAGGATGGTCCAAACGACAAAAAATTCTTTGCGACGAATACTTCAAGGAGATTGGCAAAAAAGATTGGCTCAGTTCCTAATATCATCTCATATAACGCCAAATTGTTCTACTAATATGTCACCGAGTGAACTGCTGTTCGGAAGGCGTATTAGAACCATCTTAGACAGAGTTCACCCAGATTATTCTTCAAGTGACAAAGAAGAGAAAATCTTGGATAAAGCGCTTCACGATTACCAACAGTCACCTCAGAGGAAATTTAAAGAAAATGACTCCGTATTTGCAAGAAACTATAATCAGCGAGGACCAAAGTGGATTCCTGCTATAAAGTCACTAGAATAACCGGGCCACTGAGCTACCATTTGATAACAAAAGAAGGCATTGAAATACGACGTCATATTGACCAATTGAGACCTCGCTCAGAAACATCAAAAGCATCTACTAACTCACACTTGGATAATCCTGAATCTCCAGTAAACCCACCATTCCACCCACTACTCCAGAATCCTATTCAAATGAGAACACCAGAAGCACATCATATCACTCCAGTGCAACCACCATCAATGGTTCGCAATCCTATTATGATGAGAACACCAGACGTACAACCAATGCGACCATCAGTGATGCAACAATCTCGCAATTCCTTTAGTGGTATAGAAGGTTCAATTAACCCTCATCAAGAAGATGCTGGTTTCAACGTTTCTGGTTTAATTCAAGACTCCACTAGCATGAGCACGAGTCCACAACCTGTTCGGTCACGTGTCTCTAGATCAAACTCCCAAAACACTTCAATGAGCATGAGTCCTCGACCTGTTCGTATCCGTCGACCACCGGCATATCTGAAGGACTACCTAACGGGGGGAGGAGTGTTATGTATCAAGAAATAAGTCCATATGTTTTATTTATAACATCTGTCAGATGACTGTTTACATTATTATGTTTTGTTTACTTTTTAGTTTAGTCTGATTTGTGAGTTCAATAAATTCAGTTGTGTTAATTATGTTTTAATTTACTAAAGACCTTTAACCTAAAAACGTGTGTGCAGTGTTTTGTGAAATCGGCTACCAATCTCACTTCAAGGCTTTTCAAATTCAAATTTCAAATCGACACAAAATTGCAATTTTATTGTAAAATTATCGGATTTAAAATTCATATCGTATAGGTCTATAATCGGGTGAAAGAAATAGGCGGTCAAGACTCATTAGTTCACAATATGATTTTCCCATTTAACTGCTAGAATTTGTCATCATTTGTTAAGATAACAATTTGTTTCAAAATAAATCTATTCCCTCCACTTGACACTTGTCTTTAAAATAATTGCTCAACGGCTGATCCAGTAACATAATCCAAAAAGGTGGTGGGGGAACTTCCCTTCAAACCACCTATACATTTGTGAACGAAGTGTATCTATAGGCCTATAGCTGTTCTGAAGTAGGCCTATATTCAGTTTTTATTAACTAACCGCAAGTAGGACGGGCCAACAGCTAAATTATGATAAGCCCAAACAGCACAGGATATCCCCAGTATATCCTGACCAGTTCCCACATATCCCACAGAGATCCCAGGATTTGAGAATATCCCTAGGATCACTCTAGGATATTGCACATATACCACACAAACAGTAGTCGGTTTAATGCAGTCGGTAGGCTACCTACATTAAAACATATTCATAGTATTGGATGTATTTTTTCAAGTGACAAGTGCTTGAGAAACGTAATTAAAAAGGATTTTAATATTATTTAGAATTAAAAATAACATTACCAATGATTAATAAATACCCCCGCTGCAGCAAACCTGCCGACTTAGCGAATTTACATTTGTCTGGATTGATATTCAATTTATCTATTAAATTAACATTTATGTTTAACGATTACCTAGGTTAGCTGCTACAGCGAAACTAATAAAGTGTGTTTTTTTTTTATTAAAATATCAATAGCTTAGTATGAAATAAATAAATTCGCCGAGTTTGATCAAAATATATCAATAAACAAGCCAACTACAACATATTATAATATTCTCCAAGAATAACATGGGAATTTTAAATTAAACATTTTTTGAATTTTCTCTGTAACCAATCACCGTACAAAAACACTTCATACTATTTGTTTTTCCTACAGTTACGTAACAATGTACATGTTCTCTCACTGATTTGAGAAATAAAAGGGGCCAATTCGCTCACCAGTGAGACAATGTTAACATTGTCTCACTCTAATTACTTTGTCTCACTCCAGATTTGCAGCGTGAAGGCACGAAATAGTCAGCGCGTAAGATGCAGACAAGGTCGTATGCGCGCGAAATACGTTGACAGCACTGGCTGTAAATCAGCGGTCAGCTGTTGTACTGTTGTATCATTAAATGTCATATTAAAAGTTCACTTCTGTGTAAAAATATGTTACGTTTCTTTACCAATTTATTTGTTTTATGGTAACTGTATGAAAAATATAATGTGCCACTCGAGTGCAATGTGCAATTGCCTCACTCGAGAAACCATTCCTCACTCGCCTACGGCTAGTGAGTAAGTATTTCTCTCGAGTGAGTCAATTGCTCACTTTGCTCACTAGTTGCACAAATAACTATTTCTAAGCTCTTTAAAAAGGTCTGGAGAAAAATTTATAAATTTTGTGTTTTAAGGGTAAAAAATGAGAAAATCCCATTTTTACCCCATTAAACCTCCCCGTTAAACCCCGTTGCCATGGTCCGTTCATGCTGGTTCGCGAACTCATTCAAGTTTATCCCGCCTTACACCTTCAAACCAAATTTTATCAAAATCGGACAAAAATTACTTAAGTTATAGTGCGGATGGACACACACAAATGTATATATCTGTGTATATATATATTTGAACAGCGAATTTCCATTTGCCTGGATTGATTTTCAAATAATCTATTAAATTAACATTTATGTTTCACGATTACCTAGGTTAGCTGCTACAGGGAAACTAATAAAGTGTTTTTTTTTTTATTAAAATATCAATAGCTTAGTATGAAATAAATAAATCCGCCAAGTTTGATCAAAATATATCCATAAACAAGCCAACTACAACATATTATAATATTCTCCATAAGAATAACATGGGAATTTTTTATTAAACATTTTTTGAATTTTCTCCGTAACCAATCACCGTACAAAAACACTTTGATATACTATTTGTTTTTTTAAGCTCTTTAAAAAGGTCTGGAGAAAAATTGATAAATTTTGTGTTTTAACGGTAAAAAATGGGAAACCCCCACCCCCCCCCGTTAAACCCCGTTGCCATGGTCCGTTCATGCTGGTTCGCGAACTCATTCAAGTTTATCCCGCCTTACACCTTCAAACCAAATTTTATCAAAATCGGACAAAAAATACTTAAGTTATCGTGCGGATGGACACACACACATGAATATATATGTATATATATATATATTTGAACGAATTGTGTTTTTGGCCTCTGGGGACATCAAAATAAAAGAGTAAATCGATCCCGGGCCTAGGTCTTACCATGAGACCTACGGTAATAGCTACTTCCCTATAGGGAAATTCGCTGAAATGAATCATGTTTTCTGATCATATCCAAAGGACATCTTTTGGAAATCCGTAGGAATTCCCCGAGGGGCAGATTAATTATCCAGCTCAAAATTTTCACCTTTTTATAATAATAATACACCTGCTTATAATAATAATAAATTACGTTGTTGTTGTTGTTGTTGAATACTTATAATAGTACATCTTGCCCTGTTTAGTATTGTTTATTTTTGTAATGAATCAATGTAATGGGTTTCCCGTTGGAATAAATTAAAAAATAATAATACAAATATTTTTTTTTTTAATCTAAATTTTAATTTATTTGAGAAAATGTATTAGTTGAAACATTTAAGGGAAAAAAATAATTTATCATATAACAATTATAATCTATATTCAAATACTAGTATCCTCTCACACTCCCAGAATAAACAATTTAACAACTTTATGCCCAAACAGAATAATAGTATCTATCTTCTTCTATATAAATAAAATTAGAGTTTTGTCTGTACATTGCTCAGAATTGTATATTTTTAGGCTATTTTTACGTTTTATAAATTAAAGAAGCAGAAACAAGTCTTATCTCTATTTCTGTCTGTCTGGCTGTCTGTAACACTCAAGATGGCATTTTACGCTATCTTCTCCATGAAAACGAGAGTACCTATCAAGATCCAAGTCATTTTAATTTATCCACTGGATTGGCGAGAGTGTCTTTAGCCATTAAAATATGGCCTCACTACTTTGTAAATAAAATTACGGACGTTCAAAAATGCAGTTTTGTGCGATTTTTGTTTAATTTTCGTTCAATTTTGATCACATAATCATCTATGAAATAACGAACAGCTGTTCGGATCAAGATTATTTTTTCTAGCTGTCACTGATATGTTTACAAATGTTGTTTACAAATACAGCAACGATTTCCGATCACGTTTTGAAAGCAAATCCCAACCAAGTGAGATTAAAAAGTGTTTTCTTACATAACGGATTTAATTAATCGCAAGTGCAATATTATAGTGTAACCGTAAATGAAATTAAATAACTAGGCATCATCCAGGTCAGGAACCAGAAATTCTGGGCTGGGACACTATTAATGATTGTCGCCAATAGCTTAAAATCAAGGTTTCCACTCGGGTCGCCGGAAGACTGCCCCCCGGAAAACTACCCCCCCAAACAGGTCCCTACGTCATATTGACGTCAGAGACCGGGGGGGTAGTTTTCCAGTCACGGACACTCAAATTTAGTTGTCAAACAGTTCTAATCTAACCTAACCTAACCAACCAAACTTGCTGTAACATTTCGAAATTCTGTTTTATATTCACCACATGACTTTTCTATTATCCAATGGAATTACTCGAATTAAAATTAAAATTAAATAGCATGATTTGTCTAGGGGGGGGGTAGTATTCCAGTCGCGGATTGGTTAGTTGGCAGATTTTGTGACGTCACGTTTCACCTGGGGGGTAGTTTTCCGGGGGATAGTATTCCGCATCCCCTTCCACTCATTGACGGCGCTTCAATGGTGGTTGTGTAAAGTGTAAAGTAAAAAATCACAACTGCAGTGGGTGATTGTAACAGAGGTTTACGGATGATGCTAAACTCGCTTTTCCTATGTGTGTCTTTCTGTTTCTACTCACCGTGTGAAGCAATCGCTGGACCACACAGCCAATAGGCCCATAGCCCATCTCTTGGGTACGTACGCCTACCTATCTTCTATACATAAAGCCAAAAGTACCCATGAACTTTTGAGAAAACTACAAGTCACACTCCCATAAACCATATACTTAAAATGTTCGTCATGACGAGAAACCTTGCGCAAAACTATCCATTATTTCATAAATCGCCCTTCAAGGTCGTAATTACTTTTGAAAGGGAACTTTCATTATACATAATGTTAAAAAAACCCTCAGCTGTCCTTATTTGTATTTCATTCTTTCAATTTATTTCCTTATTAAAATCAGGTGTAATTATTTGTTTGTATTTTCTGTTTTGTTTCTTTCAGCTTAACTTAGCCAATCAACAATTAATTGTATTAATACTTATGAATTATGAATTAAAACGGGGTGAAGCCCGTGGGGTACAGCTATAGCATCTCCCGTTCCTCATCAGTAACTGGAGAGAACCTCTTGTGCGAAGGAGTGGGGGGCGTGACGTCACTCTACTCTTGAGGGAACACCATTACCGTAACGAGACGGTTAGATTTCATTGGTGTTCGTGGCATAGTTGATAGCGTCTCAGACTGGTAAATGAAGGGTTTCCGGTTCGAATCTCGCCGGCGACACTAACTTTTTGACCAAGATTATGCTCATTTTTTTACTTTTAACTTTATTTTTTTAATTAAAACTATTTTTTTAATTAGTAAACCTTCATTCGATTTTTATTTTACATTTTTTATATCAGCAAGTTTGGTTAGTTCGGTTAGGTTATGACAGTTAAATTTTTTAATAAAAAATATTAATATTTACTTATTTTATACAGTAATTAAAAATTATTAGTAAACCTTAATTAGATTTTCATCTTAACTTATATCTTTTTTTTATTATCAACAAGTTTGGTTGGTTAGGTTAGATTATGACAGTTAAATTTTCTAATACAAAATTTTTAGTTAAAATTAATTTTATAGTTAAAAATTAAAGTTAAAATCATTTTATATTTAAAAATTATTTTATAATTAAAAAGTTAATTTTTCTAACTAAAAAATTATAAAATAAATTTAAAGATTTTCTTAAATTGGCGTGAGGGGCTCTCCCACAATCCCCCACTCCTTCACACAAGAGGTTCTCGCCAGTTACTGATGAGGAACGTGAGATGCTAGTGGTAACAGCTAGTCACCCAAGTAGCACACATCGTTGGCCCAACGTTGGGAAATGGTCGGCACGGTTGGGTATGGTTGGCAGAAATTTTAACGATTTGCCAACGTTGGCCCAACGGAAACTGGTATTCGTTGGCCCTATAAAGGAAAAAATCGTTGGACCTTCGTTGGGTTTAAGTATAAAACATTCTAAAACGAATTTTAACGAATTGATTTATTTAAAAGTACATAAATGTTATGGCAGCAGAATATAAGACAAATATTGTAAAAAATTGGATCTAGAATAAATGTAGTCAGATGATGTTGTGTGATACTACTGTGATACTAGATACAGTGGGGAACACCTGCTTAACATACAATAATTATTATAATTCCATTTTTGTTTTTAATAATATTCTTTAACTTATTTAAGCAAATTTTTAATAGTTATAGGGGAAAGCTTAATTAATTATATAACAATCAATTATAACTACTAATCTACTACTAATCTAATGGTAATTAAATAATCTATATTCAAATACTAGTATCCTCTCCAACTACCAGAAAAACAATTCAACTACTTTAGGCCCAAACAGATTAGCAGAATCATATTATACTGTAGCATCAAAAATATTTTAAGTATTGTGACCATTGCTCCTGTCGGCTACTCTTTCACCACTTGAAAACACTCATAATCAACAATCACAGTTAGCTCAGAGGTAAGGCGTGAGGCTCACAAGGCGAAAGTATCGGGTTCAAGACCCGTTCCGGCCAAATATTTTTATCTCGTTTTTTTTTCAAAATAAGTTTTTATGAACTATTTAATCAATTTACTCAACTCATAATTATGCTTTTCATACCAAATCTTTATTATTTTGGGTTTTTTATGTTTAGGCCCAATGGGATGGTTGGCCCTTCCGCAAAAATTGGTTGGTTGGCCAACCGTAAGACTGAGTGCCAAAACATACCGTTGGCCAACCATCGACAGAACCGTTGGGCCAACTATTTGCCAACGATTTTTGCTACTTGGGCAGAAATATTTAAGGACCATTGCAGCTGTCGGCTCCTCTTTAACCGCTTGAAAACTAGTAGTCTAAAATCAACTATCACTGATATAATAGCTCAGAGGTAAGGTAAGAGGTTCATAAGTCGGTGGTTGGTATCCGGTTCGAGACTCGTCTGGGGAAAATAAATTTTTCTAGTTTTTTTTTTAAATTTGTTTTATGAACTAAAGCTATTTAATCAAAATACTCTACTGATAAAAGTGCTTTTCAGACTAAATCTTAATTATTTAGTTTTTTTTTTATGTATGATATCCTGATGGGATATCCCAGGGATCAGGTTATGGGTGGACATAGGGATATCTCAGGAAGTTCCCCAGGAAACTCTGAGGACTTTGCGGGATATACAGAGGATATCCCCAGGACATTCCAAGGATCTTCGTGTGTTGTGTGGGAGTTAGTAGTAAGTTGATAGTAAGCAAAATTATGACGAATCAGCAACATATGTACTTAGTTTGAACAGTTATTCGTATCTAAATCAGAAAGATTCACTCGATTCAAGGATGTTTACGAATCGATGGTTCACTGTGAACGATGCGATACATCGATCGTTGCACTTAAAAGCCCACACAAACTACAATGCAATGCAGCTCCCAGGCGATCGATGTAGCAAGCAGGCTGCGCACGCGCCTACAGGGACATCTTCATCACCAGTGCACGAGAACTTATCACTCTGACGATACAGTATTTGTGATCTGCCAAGTGTCCAGTGGAGGTATATGACGACAGTTGGGGAGCACTGAGCGAGAGCAGGTTCACAGACAGACCTACAAGTAGTCTAATATAGCGACTCATGTGAACAAAGGATAACTCTAGGTACAAGGTAAGATAATTAAGAGATAATCTCGGTTGTATTGGTTTTTGTTATTGTTGTCAAAATGTACAATATATTTTAATTAGATAATCGTTGTATACTGTTATGTAATGTCGTAATCGTTTTCTCAGAAAATATAAACATTATTGTTTTATTTATATTGCATCGATGTGATTTTTAGCGAATTTCCCATATAGGGAATAAGCTATTACCGTAGTACTCATGGTAAGACCTGGACGCGGGACCGATTTTTTTTTTCGATTTGAGGTCCCTAGAGGCCAAAAACACCATCCGTTCAAATTCATATATATATATATATATATTTATATATTTATATATATATATATATATGTGTCCGTCAGCACGATAACTCGAGCAAAAATGATCCGATTTTGATGAAATTTGGTACAAACGTGTAAAAGTACGTTTATTCGAACGAGTTCGCGATCCAGCATGATCGGACCATGGGAACGGGGGTTTACGGGGGGTTTTATGGGGTAAAAATAGGTTTTTCCCATTTTTGACCCAAAAAACATAAAATTTAGCAATTTCTTTCCAAACCATTTTGTAGAGCTTAAAAAAACAAATAATTTAGTATATTGAAGCGTTACTATGCGCCTAATGGTTACGGAGAAAATTCAAAAAAATTGTAAATTTAAAATTCCCATGTTATTCTTATGGAGAATAAGTAAACTGTTGTAGTTTGCTTGTTTGTGAACATATTTTGAACAAATTTGGAAAATGTTTTTATTTCTTACTAACTATTCACATTTTACAAAAAAAACAGTTTTACCCTCCCTGATGCAGCAAACCTAAGTACTTGTTAAACTAATTCTATTTAAATCAAGAATAAATGTTATATTTTTAAGTAGACATTTCAGTGTAAATCCAATCAGTCAAATGGAAATTCGCTTAGTCTGCAGGTTTGCTGCAGCGGGGGTATTAATATTAAATTTGACAATTGAAACCATTTTATCACCCCACATTTCATTTTGGGCGATTTAGTAAATTTAAAAAAGTAACGGTAATTTATAATTTAATAACTAATAGATTTTTAAACCAGCGATAATCTATATATATCAATAGGCAAGCATGTTTCTTTACTTTAAAACGTTTTTTTCTCAGGTCGTGTGCATCGCAGGAAAAATCTACGCATTCTGTTAGAAATATATTTCCTGTAGAAGTGGAGAATACCTTCAAAAATTAAAATAGGCTCAAATATAAGCACAAAAAAAATAATGAATTTGAAATTTTGAAAAATTATCATGGACTTTATGGGTTGCCATGCTGGGGACGAAATAACAACCAAACATAAACAGGAAATCAAAACAAATGGAAGAAATTCCAATCACATGTTTTATTTGCAGCGTGTGGTGAAAATAGAAAAGCCTTGAGAAGCCTGTACCTTTACATTCCACCCCAATGTTAAAGCTGTCACCAGTTTTTTTTAAATTAAATTCGTCGTAGTTGATGTAAGCCACCAACAGATTGCGCTGATCTAAATGACTAATTTCTGTCGAATACACGATATGTTTTTTACCAAAATCTTCCCATTGTACTAAGTAATTTAGCCGACTTATATCAATTGTAGGTAGGCCTACCGGTATTTTACTACGTAAAAGCGTAAAAAATATTTCATAGGGTGATGTTATGGTATTTGTATATCTGATCCAAAATATTTTGAGTTTCGGGAAAATATCGTACTATTACCACTGTGGTTGATTAACTTCACCAATACATTGCTTACAGAACCGGAAAACAAATACGATCTTTGCTATCATAGATCGTAGGTCGTCATTTGCTTGGGTTTCGGTAAAAGAGCTAAAAGCGTATAGCTTAGCCTATCTGCATTTCTCAAAGGAACCAGTATTTAAGAGATTTTTATTTGGCTTATCGCATGGTACTGATATAGGTATCGGTATTGTATACTCAGTCAGGGCACAAAACTTCAAAATAACCCCTAGTGATAAGTGGACAACAATTCTTCTAAATTCCGAGAGGCCGAGGTCTGATGACGACGCAAAGCGAAGCCAAGCACAATAATAAACTCATCTGTGATCAGACTGCTTTGATCAGAAGGCCCAAGGCCATCGCAACTTCTTTGGGAATAACTGAAAGAAAAGCCATGATTCACTAATTTAGAACATTTTATAAAATACTCTTGGTTGCTTAATTGAGCGGAGCGAAGCGAAGCGAGTGAGGCTCTTATACTATAATACTTTTAAATACACTCCTGCTTTTCTGAACGGCTGAAGCGATCTGCACGAAATTTAGCACAGTCATAGTAACCAACCATGGGAAGGTATAAATTTGAAATGGTACAAATCGGACCACACGGCTTTTCCCTACGTGAATTTAAACTTTTAGAAATTTAACATGGACCTTATGGGTTATATAAATTGGCTTAAATAGCTGCTTCTATGTAATCCAATAGTCGCAATTAATGTCACGCAACTAGTTTCGACTTCATGAAGAAGTCATCTTCAGGGGGATAGCCCAACTCCGCGTGGTGGTCAGATTTAAGATGACGAAAAGTTCTGACCACTGCGCGGAGTTGGGATAAGCCCATCTTCAGGCGTCCAGTGGAGCTTGGGTTAACTGGTCGCCATGACATCATTTGCGAGATAACAGTTGGATTAATACCATTTAGCATAATTTACAACTACACCGTTGACTTTAAAAATTTACTTTGGATACTGCAAATAGGTACTCCATTTATGTGAATCAAATGAACCATTGACTTAGGATACTGCAAGTAGACAATTCATTTACGTGAACCAAATGTACCATTGAGTTTGGATACTGCAAGTAAACTATTTGTTTACGTGAACTCGGCGTAATTTATCATTGACCTGGAATACTGCAAATAGACATTCCATTTAAGTGAACCAGATGTAAGCCTACCATGGACTTTGGATACTACAAATAGACATCTTATTTATGTGAACCAAATATATCATTGGCATTTGATATTGCAAGTATACATTTAATTTATGGGAACTAGATGAAAAATAGATTTTGGTTCCTGCAAGTAGAAAATTCATTAACGTTAACCAAACTCCCAGACTTATAATTGACTTTGGATACTGCAAGTATGTATCCCATTTACGAAAAACAGATGTAGCATTGACTTTAGAAAAGTGTTGGATTAATATGCATGCTCCGCTCAATATTGCAAGCAGACAAGTGCATTGTACACCTATAGTGAGGTAATACTTTATGGACTTACGATTGATTTTTACAAGAATTGCTAATAATGAGGGATTGAGGGGAAGTTTTGCCAATGATATATATACGAATTTGAACGAAGGGCATTTTTGGCTGATTAAAAAAAAACAATTCTGATTTAAATTCTTCTGTTATGGTCCTCATAAATCTAAACAAAATAGTGCATTTCTTCATTCCTGTAAAAAGTACTGTTCAAAAGTTAATGAAACTTTTGAGATTTTGCTTATTAAATATCATAGTTACTCTCATCGCTTACCCATGATTAAGGTTGTTGACAAGCTGATGGGAGAAAGTGTGTCAGATTGCTGATACAGTTTATTTAGTAAAATACTAGCTGTTGTACCCGTGCTTTGCAACGGGAAGAGGACACAAAATAGAAACATTTTAATCTTTACATCTGTTGCATATAATAGTTACACATCCGCCATTGCTTTTAGAAAGAAAATTCAACTTTTATAGCCTTAATAGAAACGTTTAAGTTATGACTTTTATATCTGGTAAGTAGTGGATACCACCATTTTGGTTTTGATTAATTTTGAATCTTGTGTAGACTGGGACCGCGTCTCGTTGTCCCGCCGTCTAGTTGTACCTACGTCACTTGTACCTCGAGGCCTAGGGACAACTAGTCGTAGGTACAACTAGACGTAGATACAAGTAGACGGTGGCACACCCGACTAGTTGTACCTGAAGATTTTTAGGAGGTACAACTAGACGTTGGTACAAGTAGACGTAGGTACAACTAGACGTGTATCCCACCGACAAGTAGTATCACCTAGCTTGTACGGATGCGTCCAGTTGTCCCTACGACTAGTAGTCCCTACGACTAGTGGTTCCTCAGTCTAGTAGTCCCTACGTCTAGTTGTACCTACGACTAGTTGTACCTACGCGTATTTTGCGTCCTTATAGTCTAGTTGTATATCTATCCTTCAATTCGTTACCCTGTTTAATTGATTACTGCACGAGTACTTTTTAATAATAGCCTTAATTAAATCAGGAACTGCAGTGTTCCGAGTCAATTGAGTATGATTGGCAAATATTTTTCACCGCACTACGATGTTTTAGTAGTTTTACAGACATTAATTGGAGGCTAAAAGCTACGCATTGCTGTCCAGGGTCGAAATGGCAGCAATAGTTGTAATTAAAATTTTCCAGCCCTAGTACCGAAAATCGCTTATTTAATTAAAACATTGATATATATCATTAAATATACAAGCAGTATATCCTTAATGAATTGCAATAGACCGCTGCCTAGCAGTTATGTAATACTATTTTTGCTGATTCCTTTAAATATTTTTTACATAACCTTAAAGTATTTGCATTGATTAGTGTGCATTTCTTATATTTTACAATAGATTTCCCAGTGAACAATGAACAATGAAGTGTACAATGAAGTTGAGGTCCAGCGGTTGAAAAGTCGACAAAAACTATGCAATGTACAGACTTCTCTATTATCATACACTGTAAATAATACATGTAATTGGAATATTTTCCATTTGTTTTGATTTTATTTTCATAATTAGTTGTTATTTCGTCACCAGCATAGCAACCCATTAAACCCATGTTAGTTTTTAAAAATTTGTAATTCTTTTTTATGTCTTTTTAGCCTATTTTAATTTATAAAGGCATTCTGTAGATCGACAGGAAAATACATTTCCACCGATATGCGGATATTTTCTCTGTGATGTTCACGAGCTGATAAAAAGGTTGTAAAGAAACATGCTTGCCTATATTATTGATATACTAGTGGACCTGTGCGGTTCAATGCCCCGCAAAATGACATA